GGTTCAGTTGAAGCCTTGTTCCACACCCAGACCCCAACAGCCTCCAGACACTGCGAAAGAACATCTACAGCATCGCTTAATTCACCTGGGACAGAGATGTATAATTGAGTATCATCCGCTTATTGATGATACCACATCCCATGATGACAGATGATCCTACCCAGTGGCTTCATGTAAATGTTAAGAAGGAGTGAAGAGAGCACTGAGCCTTGCAGGACTTATAAAGCAGGGGCCGCAGGCTGGACCACTCGCTCTCGATTAACACTGATTGGGCCTGGCCTTGGAGGAAGGAGGTGAACCAGCACAAAACTGTGCCCCCCACCCCCAACTCCCCCAACTGACCCAAAAGGACACCATGGTCGATGGTATCAAAAACCACCAAGAGGTCAAGAAGAGCCAGGATGGACGCACTACCCCCATCCCAGTCCCACCAGAGGTCATCTAAAAGTGAAACCAATGCCGTTTCTGCTCCATATCTGGGCCTGAAAGCTGACTGGAAGGAGTCCAGATAATCTGTTTCATCCAAGACCCTCTGGAGCTGCAGCACCACCACCTTTTCTACCACCTTCTCCAAAAAAGGGAAGTGAGAGACTGGATGAAATTTGTCCAGAACAGTGGGGTTGAGCAACGGCTTCTTGGAGAGGGTCTTTTTAAAAGAGGCCAGGAACACCTCCTCTCTCAAGGATGAATTAACTATTGCTTGAGCCCACTCACATGTCACCCCCCAGGTGCCCTTGACCAACCAGGAAGGACATGGATCTAATGTACAGGTGGCTGCACTTTGAGACCCAAGGACCCTGTCCACTTCCTCAGGCCCAATAGGATCAAACTGTTCCCAGATAACCAGGCAAGTCAGCTCCCCAGACATCTCCAAAGGACTTGCATCACGCTTGGCATCCAATTGGGAATGAATCCGAGTGATTTTATCCACCAGATGTTCAGCAATTTCTTCTGTGCAGTTCTGGAGGTAAACCTCAGGGGGCCACTTACCTAGGAGGGTCCGGGTCACCCTAAACAGGGTGGCTAGGCGGCACTCTGCAGACATAATAAGAGTGGAGAAATAATGGCACTTCACTGCTCTTATCGTCAGAAGGTAGGCCTTAATAGCAGCTCTAACTGATGTCTGGCTGGATTCATCCCTGGTCTTCCTTCAGCAGCGTTCTAGACGTCTCTTGATCCTTTTCAATTCTCCCAACTCCTCTGTGAACCATGGGAAGTGATGGGCTAAGAGAGGTCGCACAGGCATGATCTTATCTAGGGCCTCAGCCACTTTTCTATTCCAGGCAGCAGCCAAGACCTCAGTCAGACGGTGCAACAGAGCCTCAAGGACAATCCCCAGTTCCCTTTGGAATCCCACTGGATCCATCAGCCACTGGAGGCAGACCATTCGAATAGGTCCTGCCTCCCTGAGGAGGGGGGCAGCATAAGAGAATGTCAAGGACACCAGGGCATGATCTGACCATGACATAGGGGACAGAGCTACCTCCCCCCTCAGATCACATTGCCATTGCTCCGACAAGAAAACCATGTCCGGTGAGTGACCACTGTTTCAAGTCAGGACAAGAATAACCTGGGATAGGCCCATGGCCATCGTGGTGGCCATGAACTCCTGAGCTGCTTCCGAGGCCAGCCTAAGGGATGGCAAGTTGAAGACCCCCAAGACCATAAGCCTGGGTAACTCCACAGCCAACCCCAAGATGGCCTCCAGCAGCTCGGGCAGGGAGGTTGCTATGCAGCAGGGAGGCTGGTACAGTAGCAACAATCCCAACTGATCCCATGAGCCTATCCTCAAAAACAGGGTCTCACAACCAGCAACTTGGGGAGCAATGCCCCGAAAGCCAACAGAGATTCATGGATAATTACTGCTACGCCTACTCCCCTGCCCTGGAGTCTTGGCTGGTGCCATACCCAGAACCCAGCTGGGCACAATTCAGAGATGGAGATCATCCACTTCTGGCCCCAGAGTGATGGAATGTATATATTCTACAAGGAGGAGAGCGATGTGGGAGATCAAGTCTATCAGGAGGGAGGGGGTGCATTCTAGGAGGGGGGAGGAGGCAAGAGGCAGCATAGTCCACAGGGGGAGCATGGGAAGCGAAAGAGGTTCAGAATAGCCATTCCCTAGGATCTCACAGGGTATATCCACTAGTTGCTGTAGTATAGATTTAGTCTGGCAAGATTCTGTCTATAAGGTGTAAGCAAATAAAGGAACTGGACTGGACTGGACTGTTTCATCATTTTTGGGCTGGCTCTGACATCCAGCCAGGTCTCGGTAATACATGCCAGGTTGACCTGCTCATCCCTAATAAGGTCACAGATAAGGGGAGCTTTATTATTAACCAACCTGGCCTTAATCAGCAGCAGGCCTCTGTAGGTTTGCTGTCCAGGCAGAAATTATGGCATTTCTGACCTGCAGGGTTGCTTCCTTTCCGTAATATAACTGGACTGGAAGTCAGAAAAGACTCACCTGAAAAAAAATTATCTCCCTACAGTAGGAAGGCATGGTCAACTGTAAGATCTTTCTGATTAGGGTGTGTATGAATGTGTTTCTATGTATCTGACATTCTCTAACAGATTCTCCATTAACTAGCTATTCTGAGCCACTACCTTGAAATTTCTTTGACCAAAGATCTGGCTAGACAAGAGGTATGGCTTTGCAAATTGCATTATAGATGCAGGGAGCATAGGATTATAATAAAACACAAGAGCAGCTCTAATCCATTAAACAGCCTTTCATCTGGTTCACCAGTCAGAACTTTTCCAGTAGCTACTTTTCAGATAGGCTGGAATGAAGGAAGGAAAAGCAGAATCAAACATATTCTCAGTCCAAGAGGAAAATGAGAAATGTTAAAATGAAACAACATAAATCCAGAGACTTTTTGGTAGTGGCTAGTGGCTGTTGGGTGAGAAATGAAGGTTCAGTTGGGTCAGGAGAAAGTTACTAATTAATTGTGGAGCTTATCTGTAATGTTTACAAGTGAAGAATGCCCATGGATATTCTATAGTTGTTACATTTGACCCATCATATAAAAAAAATTGGCTTATCTCTACCTAGAAAGATAATACACAAAAGGCACACTGATTAAAGCAACTACTTTTATATTTAGAAATAGAGCCAAGGACAGCAGTATCGCTGTTTAAAAACCTGGAACATTTTTTAAAACCCTCCTCAATGACAAACTACTCTATCCCTAAAACTAAGAAACCACATTTGACACACATTTTCAACTGTTTTCTCTCTGCACGTGATCAGTCATTCACCAGATGACTAAAGGAATAACAGCAGTGGTGAGATATTGAAACCAAGCCACTAGGCTTAGTTCATCTTTCTTGAGCTTTCTTGAACCTTCCACGATTCCCAGTTGCAGTTTCATCACTCGGGGCCATAGCTATTTTCCAAATCACTGAAAACATGTAATTAAAAAGTTAGGAAATCTGTTACTTACTCTAAGAAAATCAAGATTCAAAGCAAACATAAAAGTACTTATGACCACAGTTTTTGTTCTTTGCATATGGGCCACTGACTTCTGCTAGGCTCGTTGAATAAAAAATATGCATATGAATGAACAAACAGTTCAGTTTCCCCTGGCATGGAGATTTCCAGATGTAGCATAGGGCTTACAGTTTCCTTTCAACCAAAGAGGTTACTGGTGACTTTGAGCCAATCATTCTCTCTCAACCCAATCTGGCTCACAGTATTGTTGTTTTAAAATTAGGGGAGACCCCCATGGATAGAAATGCAGTCAATAAACAAACTTCCACCAGTCTTCAGACAGCGTATGTAAGAGTCAGGAATATCTAAGCTACAGTACAGAACAACTGGAGGCATGAGTTGTGGTTAGCAATTTGCTTCTAGAATATAAATAACTGCGTCCAGGTAGGGCAATTTTTGAGTAAGCAAATACACCTAACTCTTTTCCCCATTGGCTCTTAATATGCCATAACGGAGTAACACAGCATGCAGCAATATTTACAGCCTAGTCACTCCCAAGTTTATTTTCCCTGCGGATTCCACTCTTACGCCTACATTTTGTTTATGCTGCTTTTACATTTACAGTATTTTGAAAGCGTATTTCTAATAAAGGATGTGGATTGTAAACCCCCACACAAAGGGAGGCTGGAAGGCTATGGGTCGCCATCTTAAACCAGGGCATCTGAAGAATACAAGGGTTTGCAAGCAATACATCTTGAGGGTCCACCCAAAAGGAAAAGATATCTTAGATTCACAGGAGGCATCATGGGGGGGGGGGGCCTTCAAGAATGATGGCCTTTTGCTATGCTTGACATATATGAATCCTATGCATACAATTGTTTGGGGGGAGAAGTTCCACTAATAAACACTAGATAATATAAATATATAATGTGGGTTGGGGAGACCCCATCAAACTACAGAAATTATTTCCCAGTTAAAGGCAGGATGATTTATTCTGAACAAATCCCCACCCAAGTAAGATGAACGGGGCTTACTTCGGAGTAAAATGTAAAGCTCGTGAAGGAGCTGGACTCTTGGTGATTTTCATCCAGCAATCTTGGCCACAATACAGAAGTGGCTTGCATTTGCCTGTAACTTCTTTAGCTTTTCTAGACCAGGCAAGCAGCATGCGTAAAACCGAGCATCTGACAATTAAAGAAGCAAGCTAATCAATAAATGTTATTTGTGACCGTATTTAAAACTCTGTTTCAAGCTGGCACGCATTGGATCAACCCGCCAGCTCCCACCCGCGTGACTTCGCATTTTGCTCTTCCAGTCAAATCCTCTTCCCCCCCCACTCCGAAGCTTTAGATGAGTCAGTGTCAGCAGATGGGGAGGGGAGGGGGATAGCAGGGCGCAAGCGCACATCGAGAAAGTTTCCAGGAGGGAGAAAGGGCGAGTCGCGTTTTACTTCCCTTTCTCGCCACTGAGCTTGCGCAATGACCACAATGCTTTGGGGGCTGGCTTCTCCCGCGGTCGCCCGTCTAGTGCGGCGCACGCGCAGTAGCTTCGTCCCGGTGGGTCGGGGTATAAAAGCGGCCATCAGCTGATGCTCCCGCATTGCAGGCGGTGGAATCTTTGAGGAGAGGTGTTAGCGATGCGGCGCTTCGCTTTTCTCGGCGTCCTTTGCTCGCTGGCGGCCGGTAAGCGCGGGGAGGCCGCGCCCTTCTTCGGTTTCCGTTGGCAGCCCCAGGCGGGACCGCTGAAGGCGAGCGAGTGGACGCTGTGGAGGGTTGGGCCTCCCCCCTCCCGGCTTGGCCTGAGGGAAGAGGGCCCGCTGTTCTGTGGGAGAAAGCTCTCTTTGCACGCCCCGGGGCCTCGGGTCGGGCGCTTCAAACCTCGGCCAGTCGCTCCCCTTTCGTCCAGTTTTCAGTGCCTTGGAGCCACCAACCGACCCTCCCCGGAGTTGGGCTGGGAGTATGAGGGTTGCCGGCTGGAGGGCACCGGGCCGGGAGAGGCTCCAGTTCGCCTCGCGTCCTTCCTGGGCCGCCGCACAGAAGGCTAGGCTGCCAGTCCTTGGGGCCTCCGTGCGCTGGCGTCCCCGGCCTTGCGCAGGGCTGGCTGGGTGGCATACTTGTTTACCCGAGACAGAGAGGGCGTCGCCTTGCTGCCGACCCTCTTCCTCATACGAGGAGCTGCCCGCCTTCCGCGCCGCGACTGGAATCCTAGGCGTTCCTGCCGTCTTTCCTCGCCCTTCTTGTGGGGCCGTTACTTCTCTCTCCCCCCTCCCTTTAAGTTGAACTTAAAAAAATCCCTTTCTCGATTAGAATGGAGTGAAGCATTCCGCACTGGAATAGCAATTATCTCGGTATCCACGGGTGGTGTCGAGGTGGGGTCACAGAGCAAGCTGTTAATTGCTCTGTCGGTTCTTTGTTCCACTTGTGGCTTCACGAACACACTGCCTCTGAACACGGATATTTCTGGTACCTGTGGGGATTGTGTCCGGAGTACCTGACTTGCCTGTGTTCTTTTAAGAAAAGGGTGTGGGATTGTTTGGGTTTTTCCCCCCCCTCGGTATATATTTTTCTGTAGGTAAGATAAGGAATGGAAATGAGCAAGATACTGAGTTTCCCCAAATAGATGGGAAGTCTTTGTCAACCATATAACAGAGCTGAGGCATTGTACTTAAAGAATCCTCTGCAAAGTGCTTCTTGGTGTTAGTGCAATGCTTGCTATGGAAACACATGTAAAAATATAGGTGGAAGAGTACTGTAGAGCATTGAACATAAATTTGGGAATTGCTAGCATGTAAATATTGATGCATGGGGTTTTTACTCAGTTTTGGCATACTGAGAGCCCAAAAGGGGGGGGGGGATGGATAAGTGTATTCATTCAAAAATTACCCTGCCTGCTTGCACTTATTTATGTTCTAGAAGCAAATTGTTTAACTGTAACTCTCCTAATGTTTATGTGTGTGTCCTTAATTACTTCAACCCTCCAGGTGTTTATTACTGTGATTCAGTAATCCTTGACTTTTATATAAGATGAAAGCTAATTGATTGCATTTCTATCCCTTAATCTTATCCCTCACAACAATTCTGTGAAATAAATTAGATTGAGAGAGTGACAGGTCTAAAGTCATTCAGTGACATCCATGGTTGAATGGATCTTGTAAGTGTTATAGTACACCTGGAAATCTCATTGCCTGAAAGCTCAACTGCTTGTTCAGTCATGTATGTGTTTTAAAAATTCAACTAGGCTTACAGAATTTAGTGGAATGTAATGAAAGAAAAACTGTTTTAAATGCTTTTGGCTTTGACTTGGAATCTATTTTTTTACTTAGAAAACAGAACACATGATAATATTCCTCAGATTATCCACCTACACATTTTACAGTGATTTAGAAAAATAGTTGTAGCCTTGGGTAATAAAATTGCAGCAGCTATGTTGCAGTGCAAGGTATGGCATAATTGATTGAAATAAGCTTAAGAATTGTGCACTACCTTTATAAATATGCAAACTTTGCACTGTTTAAAAAGGTAGAATAAGCAAAACAGAAAAAAAGATGAAGCTTTCAGTATTTGTAATTCATTATGAGATTTATACAAAATATTCTTGAGCAGAATAAACATTCTTCATACATATGAACCAATACATTTTCTGCTGTCTATAGAAATACAAGATAGTTTTACCGGCAGTATGTCTGTTTTTCTCCAAAGTTAGTTTGGTTGATTGCAAATACTGGAAAGATGTCATATAATTCAACTTTATATATGTTCTTGGTTATTGCTATGAGATTCTTGTATGTTGTCCTAATCATACTACTGGCTGTTGATCTGTAAACTGCTCAGTTATGGTTGGAGAGGCATACAGATGTGGCCAAAAGCATTGGTACCCATCCACTTTTTCCCCAAAGAACCCAGTTTGTCATGAAATAATGATTATTTGATGATCCAATCCATTCAACTGAATAATACAGAAAGAGTTTGATGTTTTGAGAATTTCTTGAGCTTCACTAATCTCTACAATGTCCATTTTAGATTTTGAAAATAAAACGGTATGCCATTTTGATGCCAAATATTGATAGCATGATCTCGGACTTCTCTTGGGAATTTTGTGAGGTTAAAACAATAAGTTACTTAGAGGCCTTGTGCATCCATTTCTCCCTTTATTTTAATACTGAGTGCAAAATTGCGCTAGTGAAAATTGGCAATTGTGCACTGAATTTTAATCATGGGTATTCTGGGGTTCAGAAATAAGGCGTTGAGTGCTGTCTATAGGAATCAAAGGTTCCTTTCATCATGAAGCCTAAAGTAGTGCTACAAAGTAATCCAGACCATGAAGTAGCAATGTCACCCTCATTATTTCTTTCATTATGAACTTGAATTGAAGATATAAAACATGAGCTGGCAGACATTTATAAAAGATTGCTTTAAAGATTCATGAAAGGGTTTCTGATTGTATTGCTTCCCTTATTTTATATTCAGGACTCAAACAGGAAGGCATTTTTTCCTAGGCCTCTCACATTTATTATTCACATTTATTGTCTAAGAATCTTATACTTCAGTAATTTTCCTTCACAGACTTCATGTGTTCCATAACCTATGATTTTTAGCTATGGTTGTGGAAAAAGTTAACATTGGTTTATTGCATAGTATACTAAGCTAAACCTAAGCTTGTTTTGTTTAGCAGCTGTTTAAATCCATTTACTAATTTTCTTATATGTGAATGTTAGTAGTTTGAATAGTCTGCTCCTTGGTAAAACAGTATCTTTTGGCAGTTCTTGATTAGTTTGCAGCAGTTACTTCATGACAAAGATCTTTATAGCATGATTTCCAGCTTCCTCACTCTACAATAATGCAACCTCATTTAGTGTATCGTTAATAAGAGAACATCCCACATGAAATTTTAAAGCGTTGTATATATTGATACAGATAGTCCTTGAATTATGACCATTTGTTTAATGACTGGACAAAGTTACAACAGCACTGAAAAAAGTGACTTGCAACCATTGTAGTGTCCCTGGGGTCATGTAATAAAAATTTGGGTGCTTGGCAACCAGCATGTATTTACAATGGTTGCAGTGTCCTGGGGTCACATGATCACCATTTGCAACCTTCCCAGGGGGCTGCTGACTCAATGGGGGAAGGTAAGTCAATGGGGGAAGCAGGATTCACTTAACGACCATGGCAAAAAAGTAGTAAAATCAGGCATGACTCACTTAACAACCCCATCACTTAGCATTGGAAGTTCCAGTCCCAATTGTGGTCATGAGTCGAAGACTACCTGTAGTTTGGATTTTGGATTGATTGGGTGCTGGATTCTATTAGGTAAATTAATGCTCCTGTTATTTAAGACTTCGATAAACTCTGTAAAATGCTGCTAAAATAAATAATAGCTACTTTTTCAAACAAATCTAAAAAAAATCAACTTTTTTTTAGTTGCTTTGACAACTCCCCTGCTTTTGAAGAAAGACTGTGCAAAAGGTCCAGAGGTATGGTGTCAGAATTTGCGAACTGCATCTGATTGCAAAGCAGTTAAACATTGTCAGCAAACTGTGTGGAACAAGCCTACTGTGGTAAGTCATCTAACAGTAAATTGGATGTGAAGATAAACAATTTGAATTAATTTTATGTTTCTGTAATGGTTTGATACTGCCTAAGCAAAATGTTTATTAGTCAGAACTATTTTTGTATGTGAAGGAAAAAAAACTGTTCATAATCATTTGGCTGTCCCCAGCATTGAATATCTAATCTGTAGGAATATGCAGAACATCTCAAAATTGAAACATTTCCAGACTGAAACATGTTTTGAGTTCACGATAGCTGTTTCAGTGCATGGTTCTAGTAAGAGTGGAATAACTGAGTTTCAAAATACTTTGCCGACCCCTACTAATCCCATTTCAGACATAAGAATCTTGTTCTGATAAACCAGAAGCTAGACTTGTATTCAGGCCTTTTTTTAGTAAAAAAAAAAAAACAACCTACAAAGCAAACAAACAGAATAAAAAAGGATAACAAACTACATATCTATCCATCAAATATTAAACAATATTCAAAAGTTTCTAAGGGGAATAATAATACTCCATTGTTGTAAAGTATCATGAAATCTGTGCCAAAAGGAAATGTATTGTGACTTTTTTTGTAATATAAAATTGCCTTTTCGAAAGCAGAAGAATTATACATTTTTAAGCTATTCCTTAGCGTTGGGGAATATTAATTTTCTAATTTCTCAAAATAATTTTAGTAATACCCCACACTCAGTATAGCCATAATTCCTCAAAAATAGTCAGATTCCAAAAATTTGGGATATATTTTAACGTATGTAATGCAAAGGATTTCCCCATAATCTTCCTTATGTATGTTAAAATATTGTTCCAAATCAAAAGAGTCGATGAAACCACCACAAATTTTCTTCCATTATAAGCAAAGAAAATCTGACATCCACCCTTTCAAATCTTTGGGTTATCTAGAAGACTCGAAATAGAATATTTTTATGAATTAACTTTAATCTTAAATTCAGTGAAGCCAATTTGACATTTTTTAACACCTGGGACCACTGATGATCTGTTATCAGATATTCCAGTTCTTTAGTCCATAAACTATACATATAATTAATGGAAAAGTTGAAAGTATTTTTTAGTTTTTGATACAAATATTCTGTGGGTTTAGTTTCAGACATTAAGTCCATCAAAGATGAAAGCACCTCATGGTTCTTGGAAGCTGCAAAAGCATCTGGTCCATATTGAGATATCAAGATGTACTTGAATTAATTATATTGCCACTTTTCTGAATTAAGGAGACAATTCTATTTGAAGATGAAAAAAATCCTTAAAATAATCATTACAAAGTAATTGATTTAAAGTGACTACAGGTCATCCTTGTTTAGTGACTGTCTCATTTAGTGACCATTTGCAGTTACAACGGTGATGAAAAAACGTTTGTACTTTGCAGCCAATCCTCACATTTACAATCTTTGCAGGTCTGTAAAGCAAAGGAAAGCTGAAGTAAAATTGTTAAGCACAGTCATGGTTTCATTTAGCGACTCCTTCGCTTAATGTTCAAGTTGCCAGCTCCAATTGTCACTACCTGTATTACAGATTCTGCCCATAGTTTCCAGTATAGCATTTCCCCCCTATTTTTAAAGCAGAGATCTTCTATGAAGTTAAACATTCATAGGCCTCAACATCAAAATCCAGTCCACAACCCAATAGGGCAAAACATGTTTAACTGCTTGTAATCTGGAAAGCAAAATGTCCTTTCTGCTATATGGTGACCCAAGTAATCGCTGGGACTTGAATGAAAATAAATACTTTCCAACAAGGTCCAAAATATTCATTCCAAATTGATATAGGCAATAAAATCGATATAGGCAATAAAGACCAATGTTTTGTTTTGAAAACATGATAAAACTGTCATCCTCAAACATAATCTCAATTTAGCCAGTGAAATCTTAAGTAGCCTATTTTCTCATATACGTTTCTTCAATAATTTATCTGAAGAAAATATTTATTTGGGATTAATATTGGAATACCTCTTGAAACATATCAGTCACGGAGTGATGTTCCATTAATGAATGATTAATGTTAGTAACATTAATTTTACTTAAAGGAATTTTAATCCATCTATTGATATCTAAGGCAATCGTCTATAAAACCTTTAATGTTTTTCCATATATTTAGAAATATTTTTGGAATATAAAGTCCTAAATAAGTTTATGAAGATTCTCAGTCATCCAGGTGGAATTGTCTGGAGGTTGAGTCATGGCAACTGGACTTCTTTTGTTTTTTGTTTTTTGGATAGAGACATTTCGCTACTTGTCCAAGCAGTGTCTTCAGTCTGTTTGGACAAGTAGCGAAATGACTCTAACCAAAAAACAAAAGTTCAGTTGCCATGACTCAACCTCCAGAAAAAGTCCTAAATACTTAATATAATCAGTGATTACAAAACCCAATTCTTTACATTGTTCTAGTGACATATGAGAACCCAAAGGGTGTAAAAAAGACTTACCCCAGTTAACCTTATATCAGTATTTACCAAAGTGTTGAATTACCCATATGAAGGTTAACATTCACATGAATAATTATCTAAAATTGCCAAAATACCATCAGTGTATTAAGAACAATTTATATTCAAAATCCACAAGTATGACACCAATAATACCACTAGACTAGATGCGGTTGTTCTGCTAAATCATTATTTTCAACTGGACCGTGACATTTTTAATGAATCTTTTCCATGGTTGGCTGGTGTGGGTCTTCCGGGCTGTGTGGGCGTGTTCTGGAAGTTTTGTTTCCTAACGTTTCACCAGCATCTGTGACCGGCATTTTCAGAGGCCAGGAGCACAGACAGGAGCAGTTCTCTTTGTGCCCAGGATGATGTGACCCTTTTGTGGGTATTTATAGGGGTGGGGGGTGTTGGGTTAACGAGTGGCTGCTGAGGGGAGATACACACATATTCTGACACCAAAACAAGCAGCCACTCGTTAACCCAACACCCCCCACCCCCGGGCTGTGTGGGCGTGTTCTGGAAGTTTTGTTTCCTAACATTTCACCAGCATCTGTGACCGGCATTTTCAGAGGCCAGGAGCACAGACAGGAGCAGTTCTCTTTGTGCCCAGGATGATGTGACCCTTTTGTGGGTATTTATAGAGATCAGCGAGGGTACCTGAAGGGGGGTGGGGGGTGTTGGGTTAATGAGTGGCTGCTTGTTTTGGTGTCAGAATATGTGTGTATCTTCCCTCAGCAGCCACTCGTTAACAAGTCAATAGAAGAAAAAACCCTGCCTAACTCCCAACACCAAAACAAGCAGCCACTCGTTAACCCAACACCCCCCACCCCCTTCAGGTATCCTCGCTGATCTCTATAAATACCCACAAAAGGGTCACATCATCCTGGGCACAGAGAGAACTGCTCCTGTCTGTGCTCCTGGCCTCTGAAAATGCCGGTCACAGATGCTGGTGAAACGTTAGGAAACAAAACTTCCAGAACA